GGGGGGGGGGCCTGTGTCTGAGGGGGTCTGTGTCCAGGGTGTGTGGGGGTCTGTTTCGGTTGAGGGTCTGCACCTGCATCTTGGGGCGTCTGTATATCTGCCCCCCCGGGGGCTGAGGACCCCTCCGAGGGCCAGGCCCTTGGCCCCGGGTGCCACCACATCGCGAGCTGGCCCCCTCTGCACTCGGGCTGCGTGTCTCGGAACTTTCTGGATGCCTGCAGGGGTCCCATGTGCGTGGGTCCTCACGGATGCGCCTCTCTCTCTCAGCACAGGAAGTCCTGGAGAACCTCAAAGACCGCTGGTATCAGGCGGACAACCCGCCCCCGGACCTGCTGCTGACGGAGAGCGAGTTCCTGTCGTTCCTGCACCCCGAGCATAGCCGCGGCATGCTGCAGTTCATGGTCAAGGAGATCATCCGGGACCTGGGTGAGGCCCAGCCGCGGAGGTCAGCATGGGCCAGTCCTGGGCTGGGTGGCCCGCGGGGGCTGTACGGCCACTGTTTGGGGTCAGGCCGAAACTGCACAAACTGAAAACCTGGCAGCAAAGCCCCGTCAGTTGAGTTTTCTCCAGAGTGGCCTCGGTGGTCCCGCGCCCGCTGGAGTCTTGACGTCTGCCCCCGTGTCCCACAGACCAGGATGGTGACAAGAAGCTCTCGCTGTCCGAGTTCATCTCTCTGCCCATGGGCACTGTGGAGAACCAGCAGGCCCAGGACGTGGACGACGGCTGGGTGCGAGACAGGAAGAGAGAGTTCGAGGAGCTGATCGATGCCAACCGCGACGGGATCGTGACCGCGGCGGAGCTGGAGGTGGGTGTGGGGCCTGCTGCTCCGGGAAGCGGGGTCAGCCTGGCTGGACGCTGGGGTGGGAAGGCCGCGCGCCGCTGGACCCGCCTCCTGCCTCGGGAGTGTGTTCACTGGTGCCGCATGTCGGTGCTGCGTGGGGCTTGTTTTTCCCCACTGCTGCATATGTGAGGCATTTCATTTTAGCCAGAGCTCTCTGATCCCTGCTGGTAGCGGTGGGACCCCCGGTTCGGGAGCTCCTTCCCCTCAGCACTGCCGCCCCGGCGGCCGAGCCGGTCCGTGTGCGTGTGCCCCGCTCCAGGGCCAGCCTCCTCCCTGTCCTGCCCTTCCGTGGGCGGGGAGCTACCCATGCCGGTGAAGGCTGCCTGGCCCTGAGCCACTTCCGGCCTGGCGCCCACCTTCCAGAATGTTTTAGAACACTCCCACCTCCCTGCCCCGCAGCTTCTGTCCCACCAGCTCACGGGGTATTTCCAGCAAGGCCTCACCTCCTGGAGCTGGTTGTGGTGTCACAGCCCCGCTGAGGCAGGGCTGCCAGCCCGCGTGGGGCGTCCTCCGGGCGGGGGGTCTCGGCTGCGTGGCCGGATGCGGGCTGAACGTGAGGAGATGCCTCCGGCCCGGGGCGGTATGGGCCGTGGTGGGGCTGAGCGGGGCCCTTGCAGGACTACATGGACCCCATGAACGAGTTCAGCGCCCTCAACGAGGCCAAGCAGATGATCGCCGTTGCCGACGAGAACCAGAACCACTGCCTGGAGCCCGAGGAGGTGCTCAAGTACAGCGAGTTCTTCACGGGCAGCAAGCTGGTGGACTACGCCCGCAGCGTGCACGAGGAGTTCTGAGCCGCCGCCGCTGCCACCGCCGCGCCCGCCCCTCGCCCACCCGCCCCGTCCCTCCCGCGGCGCCTGGATTCCCGCGATTCCCGCGTACCCACTGCTTCTCGCTTCCGGGAACTGGAGCCCTTCTGCCAGAGGCACCGGCCGCATCAGGGCCTGCGGGCTGGCCACACCGTGGGAAATACGCAGCTCCCGCCGTTTCCTTGAAAACCGAAAGATGAAGGCTTTACTGGAAACCAGCAGCCGGCGGCTGGCGGGTCGGGACGGAGCCGTGAGAGCCGCCGGCCCTGTGGTGTTCAGCCTCCGAGGAGACGCTAATACTGGTGACAGGAATCACATTAATTTACTTTAAAATATAGTTGCCTCTTTCTCTCAGCTTCACTTGTTTGGTGGGAAAAGAAATACGTAGACGATGCTTCGGATGCCTGTGGCCAGGCGGCTTCCACCTGAAGCTCTGCGGTGGGCGGTTTGGGTAGAGCAGGGGCTTGCTAGCGCCGGTGGTCGCCTGCGACACGGGGGAGGATGACACGGGGCCGCCAGGCGGGACGGTGTCCTGGTGGGGGACGGGGAGGGGCCGCCTGCAGGGCGGGAGTTGGGGGTCTGGGCTGCAGATTTAAAGTCAGGAGCTGGAGTCCAGGCTTGGGTGAGGCCACCTGGGGAGGGGCTGGGAGGAAATGGGAGTTTGGGGTGGGGGGGGGCGGTGCTCTGAGGACGAGCCCTGGGCCCCCAGGGCGCGGGGCTGGGGGCAGAGAACTGGGGGAGTCCCCAAGAGCCGCCCAGAGTCCTGGCCTGGGGTGTGGTGCGGGGGCAGGGAGGGGTGGCCTGGGGGGGTCAGGAGCCTCTGGCGGGAGGGGTGAGACCTGGTCCCCCCGGCCGCGGTCCCACCACCACACCGGGCCCTTCCCCCGGGGTTGGCATGCCCGCTGGCTTGGCTGGGGTGCGGGCTGGGGGTGTGTGGGCAGTGAGAGTTAAGTGACAAGGGAGGGTCTCCACTCTGTGTACCCATGAACCTGGCCCCCCGCCGGGCCCCCCTCAGAGCCCTGAGCTGTGGCCCATGGTGCTTTGGTGGACGGCTCACCCGGCCAGGGGGTCCGCAGGGGCCTTTGAAGGCCCTGCTGGGGTTGGAGGCTCGGGCCGGGTGGGCAGAGAGGCTGCACTGAGCTGCCCACGTGACCTGCTTCCGAGCAGCGTGGGGAGGGGCCGCCGCAGAATCTGGGCCGGTTTCCAGACAAACAAGAGGAAAGACTTTTCAGAACTGCGACCAGAAGGCGGGGTGGGAGGGCGGGGCCCATGGCTCTGGGCGTGTGGGTGGGTGGCCACCAACAGGTGGGACGCTGGGACAGAGGTGCGGGCCGGCCCCCCGTGTTGGGCAGGGGGCAGGCGGCCTCCCCTGCCATGGCCCCCGTAAGGTGTGGGGTGCTGCCCGCCAGACCTCGAGTTACCTCCACCTCAGCAGCTATGGTTGTCTTAAAATAGTTTTTCTCACTGTCAGTGGGAGACGGGGCACAACACGTGCACGCACAAGTGTGCTCGCAGGCTGCCTGGCGCTCTGCCCCTCCCCCATGGACCCTCCCTCTCTTTGGAGGCCAAGGGCGACGACTCTGCGGTGGCCCCCGCCCGCAGGCGGAGCGGGCTGGCGGAATTTCCCGCAGGTGGGCAGGGAGCCCCACATCCTACCTGTGCCCCCAGGAGGTGGGGGGTTTCCAGCCACTGTGGGAGGCCTGCACCCCCCCCCCCAAGTTTCAGGTTAGCCGTTAAGCAGAGAATCCTGTCTCGTGGTTCAGATTTAAAAGCACCAAAGACACGGCCTCCCTGCCTTGGGCCACCAGGACCAGAGCTTTGCGTGAGAGGGAGCATGTGCACACGTATGTGCGTGCGCGTGTGCATGTGTGCGCGCGGGCACCTGTGCTCCTCCCTTGTGCCCCACGGGGGGCCGGCACAAAGGCCCTCCCCGCCTGTCCTGAGGACACGGGAGCTCTCTTTCCTGTCCCAGTGGTGCTGCAGGAACACCCTAAACCTGGGATGGGTGTGGCGCAGGGAGAGCCTGGCATGGCCTCCAGAGTTTTTAGGGAGATAGCCCCTGCCCGGCCAGGGGGCAGAGCGGAGAGTCTGTCTTCACGGGACACCCCGCCCCAGGCACATGCCCAGGTACTCATGGGAGCAGCACACACACATCCCGGCATGTGGAGCCAGCGCCACACACGATGCTGCACACACGCCACCCCCAGGGCACTGGGCAGGGCTTGCCCAGCAGCACGTGCTCCGTCTGCTCGGGTGGCTTGCAGCACAGACGTTTACCCTCTGCTAGTCCTGGAGGCTGGATGTCCAGAGACCGAGGAGTGGGCGGGGTTGGTGTTTCCTGAGGCCTTTTTCCTCCCTGTGTCTGTGCCCTGCCCTCTTCCTCTTGTAGGGACACAAGTCACACTGGATCAGGCCCACCCTGTGACCCCACCCAGCCTTTATGGCCTACTAAGAGGCCCCGGTCTCCCAGTACAGCTGCACGGGGATCAAGCTTCCACATGTGGGTTTAGGGCACTAATGTGGATTCAGTCCCTGATGCCTGCTGTGTTCAAGGATGCTCAGCTGCTCTCTCCCTCTCACACCAGGACACACCCTCACGTGCTTGCGCACTCACCATGGGCACTGGTCATGAGGCATCTGACCCACCAGGGCTGCTGGCATTGGTCCGAGCTAGTTTTGGACACTTGGGCCAGTGACCATGCTCTGGAGCCCTGGACACCACCAGCCCTCCCCCTGCACCTGATGCCTGACCCAGTGTGCTGCCCTGGCTCACCCATGTGCTCCGGGCACCCTTTTGTGGGGCAGGGGTGAGGACTGGCCTCAGGGTGGGCCCCCCACTCCTCTTTAGGGCTCTGCCCTGCAGAGAGGGGGGGTGCCCAGGAGGAGTGAGCCAGGTGGAGGGATCCCAAGACCACCCCGGTCTGGGCAGCTTGGCCAGGCTGGGGAGGGCAGGGAGACAGCCAGGATGCCTGGCCGAAGGGGCTCCAGTTCCCTGTGAGACAGGAGTGGGAGGGGTCCAGGGGGAGGGGTCAGTGCAGACCGGCTGGGCTGGAGGACCTGGCCTGGTGGCCCTGGCAGGGGTCAGGGGGCTGCGGGTCCTCACTCAGGCCCCGGATCTGCACACTGCAGCTGCTGGCTGCGCCGAGCCTGAGGCCCATTATCGCGGGGTTGGGGGCCCTGGCTCCCAGGGCAGAAGAGAAGACCAGGGCCAGGACACAGGCTGCCTTCCAGTGCTTCCTGGGACCTCCTTCCTCCCGGTCCCCTCCTCCTGCCCTCCCCACCCCTCCCCCGCAGCCCTTATAGCCACATCCTGCAAGGAAAAACCCCAGACTCCCGAGCTGTGGGGCTGAGAGCAGCCGAGAATGCGCGTGGGAGCCCAGCCACCCAGGGCGCCAGGCTCGGCCTTCCTGCTCCTGGGGCTCGCGCTGGGCGCTGCGGCCCAGCTCAGCTGTGTTGGGGACACCTACCCCAGTGGCAGCAGGTGCTGTAAGGAGTGCCAGCCAGGTGAGTGGCCTGGATGTGGAGTGGGGGAGGGGTGCCTGCAGGGACCCAGGATGAGGAGACGGGGTCAGGGGACACAGGGACCTACAGATGGGGTCACGTGGTGAGGCACTGTGGGGCGAGTGGACTTGGGGCGAGTGGGTGACCTGGAGCCACACCTGGGATGGGATGGTGGGCCAGCCAGAGGCGGTCGGGGGCTGCTGCGGGGAAGGCCAGGCCGTGGGGAGCTCTGAGCCCGGCCTCCCGTGGCAGGTTATGGGATGGAGAGCCGCTGCACCCACGCCCGGGACACGGTGTGCCATCCGTGTGAGCCTGGCTTCTACAACGAGGCGGTCAACTACGAGGCCTGCAAGCCCTGCACACAGTGCAACCAGAGTGAGCACTGCCAGGCGCCCCGGCCCCGCTGGTACTCACGTCACACGGGGCCTCGGAGCAAACTCCAGACCACGGCGGGGCCTGCCCTCCCCTGCCCCGGAGTACCACAGTCAGCTGAGGCCACCCACGGGGCACCTCCCCCTCCCAGAGGGCCAGGGCCATGTGGCTGAGTGGGTGAGACCCAGAGTCGAGGACCACAGAGGGTCCTGAGCAGGCTGG